CTGATTTTCCCTTATCGGAAACCATTCATGTTTGCAGTTGCTGAGGTTATTGAGGCTCGTAAAAAAACGGATTCAATCTAAACAAGAAAGATTTAAAAAAAAAAAAACAAGAAAACAAAACAACAACAACAAAAAAAAACCACAAAAGGAATCCTGTAGGACCCGCAAGAATGGGAGGATTTCCCCGCCCCCCCCCCCTCCGGAGAGAAATCTCGTAGCCGTGCAAAACGCACGGACATTGGAAATTTAACAGAGTGCCTTAAAAATATCAAATTAAATGTAGGTGGTGGTAACATGCATGTTAACAATTTCTCTTATGATAGATGGTTCAAATTAACTTCCAGGAAAGTGCATTAACGTTGCCTTTGAAGGCTCTAGTCAGAGCCTCTGAGAACACTGCCCGCTTTTTATTATTGTAACCTGCAAGAGGGAAACATATAAACACCCGGGACAGCAGGTAATGGGGGGAAATATAAACAAAGCCAGAAAGAAGGCTGGTGGGGAACAGAGCTACTCAGATTGGGGCCGGGGCCTTGCCCACTGTGAGTAGGGTTAGCTGCACTTTTACTCCCATTATTGGCACTATTGTTTTTAATTCCTCCATTCAGAGAACAAATAAACCATCCTAATAAATCTATCCTAGAGCCAGGACCTCCAAAGGCCAAATTAAAACCATTCCTGAGCGAAGATGGCAAAACCCCTTTCCCAAGGCCTTGCTGAACAGTAAGCAATGGTATAATCTATCAATATTTCCTGGCTTTCATGCGTGAAGAATTGTATTTACATTGTATTAAAATGACTCTTAAATTTGCACAATATTGTAATGTAGCAAATGTAGTATTAATATCGATCTGAGCAGCAGATAATTTATTTAGACAAGAGCATCTCATTTGTATGCAGGGTGGCCAGAGCCGTGGACTTGGACTGCCCCCCTTTTACTTGCAGTGCAAATGCAGGTCTGCTAGTGGGAGAGGGAGTTATTCTTTGCAAGAGGATAAAGTGCAAACCTTAAAACAAATGGAAGATTTATTGAATAGCCTCCTCAGTGTTTGAATGCGTTTTATCTTAATAAGTCTTCTTGATGGAAACGTGTTTTTCAAAAGTGACAAAGAGCCTGGGAAGCAGCGACCGGGCTGCTTTAGCTCTGGCAGGCCTGGGGCCTGGCTGGCTCTCTACTCCCCGGCTCTTTAGCCAAATTAATCAGGAAGCAAGCCAGTGTCGGGGAAGCTGGGGTTTTAAAATCTCATCCAGTGAGGTGTCTTGAAGCAGAAATGTGACTTGGAGCTGGACAGAGATCTTCTCAGGAAAGGTCTTTCCTCCCTTTGCCTTGTCCCCTACTAAGGTTCTTTGAACTCCCTTGACTTTTCTGATCTCCTGCCCTTTCCCAGAGAGAGGCGAGGACTGTGCTGGCTGCAGGGAAGATTGTGGAATTATTCATGCTTTTCTTTCAACTTTCCGTCCTAAAACATCCCCGTGGAAAAAAAAAAAAGTGTCCCTTTATAAAAAGTTTTCCCAAAGTAGTTTACGAACTGCGTCTTCAAGGTGCAGAGGGAGGCTGAGAAGTGAACAATAACATTATTTTGTTGGAAAATTGCAAACAGAATATCTGAAAATGGAAATGGAGCTGTCAGTAGTAATTCACCCCCCCTCCTCCATACAACACATTTCCACTTTTGACTAAACTTGTTTTGATTGCTAGCCAGAAGGGAATTCATGGGAAGCCTTCTCAAAGTCATCCAACTTTTAAGCAAACTTTGAATGATGGAAAAGACAGTTTTAGACATATTGTCCAACGAGGTTTGCTCCGGCTAAGTATTTGAAGCTGGCACGGGGGTTCCCTGTGGTGGTTTTCACATTTGGCCTCCGGATGGTATGCTTAATCCTTAATATTCTGGACAGCATCCAAGGACTAGGTCATGACCTGAACTTACTTTTTTAAAAAATTCATTAATTCATACACCTAAATATTCCCTCAAATAAATGGGACCTCCTCTGAAAGGAGCCATCTAGTTAACATAAATACAATAAATCCATTTTCAGCACAATAATAACTTTGATTTCTAGTTATGGCAGCTGATTACATCTATATTTCCTGAACACTAAACTCTTGTGAATGCACACCATGAAATACATTCTCTGCACTACAAAGGCTAAGCCGGGAGGGCCTGAGCAGTAATGGTTATTTATTTACATAATTTCTTTTACATATACTATAAAAGAAATATTGAGGGTTCCCACATTGACACTAGCACATAAAAAGTGAGACATGGATTCACCTCCTTTTCTTATCTCGGGTGTATCTCGTAGAATGTAAATATGTCCTGCATTAACACCCCCCCCCTTCCCTGCTCACCTAGCTTTGCTGCCACCACCAGCCAATTGATCTGAGCGCTCATACTGTCCGTGCATAGTTGGGGGGGAGTCCTGTCCTGGGAGTATCCGGAGTAGGGATGAATAACTAGGGTGGGAATCCAGGCCTGAAGTAGGACTCCTGCTGGAGGGAGGCCACAGAGCTGGCCGGCTGGCACCTGGCAGCCAGGCCCAGCTACAGGCGTTCTGCCTTCAAAGGAGGAAAGAAATCCAAGCAGCCAGCACAAGGCCCAAGCAAGCCTTTCCTGGGCTTCTCTCTCTTGGAGCGGCCTAGCTGGGAGAAGGGTAGTGTCCTTGTGCTCTGAGGGCCCTAATGGTAAATATCAGATAAATATTTTACAAACCTGAGGGGATGCCATATGGGTCTTTTAAAAAAAAAATCTGCTGGGGTACCAGTGGGTCCTTTTCATACTGCATTGTCTGAGGCTGAAAGGGATCCTGTGGCATAATGGGCAGATAATGCATGTAAAGCAAGATATATGTAAATATGAGTCTGCATGGTGGCCATTCAGCAAGGCCAGGTTAGCAAGCAAGGCCAAGGGCAGACCTGGGGGGGCCCCCTCTCTCAGCAGCGAAGCCCCAAAGTGCTCCTGCCCTGGCCCTGGTAACCATAAAATCTCAGTGGCTTCCCAGGTCAGGCCAGTGTGGATGCACCCGAGTGGCTGGCAGGAGTAATTAGACATCTGAGAGGAACCCATTCTGGATCTAGGGTCAAAGGAGACCTGCCTCAGAAGTTCTTGAATTAGCACTAGTTTTATTTGTATTTTTGCTCAAGGCCATTGCCTTGTAGATGAAGGTGTTAGACTGCTTTGTAAATCCCAGTTCTTGAAATAGAAAGACATAAAGCTCAGAAACTCAGAAGCAGACGCGGGCTTCACTTTGAATCGTTTGGTGTGACTTCTTAGGGTCACACTTGCCCATTCACGATTATATAACGTCCTTTTGGGGGCATTGCCATGCATGAATTTCTTCCCAGATCTATATATTAGCAAACTCTGCCTTTGATCTCGAGTCAACCTCCTGACTGGCAAAGGGCTCCTCTGTGATCTTCCTGTTTTTTAAAAAATATTTATTATTAATATAACAAATAACAAGGGTGTTTGAACTAAGAGAAGAAGCTTTCACTTCATTCCTTTCATTCCACCTTCTCCTCCATTTCTTTGCCTTTAGTTAGTTGATACAGTATAAACTGCTGTCTTGAAAGATTTTTAGGGGACCATGAGGAGCCCTGGTTGATAGGAGATAAACACACAGGTTTTAAGATGCTGTCATTGTGTGTAAGTGCCTTCTCCCCCTTGGTCCTGTGACAGGAAGCCTGTCTCCCCAAATCCCCCCCTCAACTCCCCACCTCCCAGTTTGGAAGCAGCAACAGCAGCTGCCTCCAGCCCAGCTTTGTGTCTGATCGTGGAAGATGTCTCCTTTCCGCAGCCTGGAGTAACTGAGCCATATTCCTTCTGATTATTATACAGCTTACAGAGATGTGACCAATTTTCAATTACTTGATCTAAAGCACAGATAGAAGCGTACACTCTCACCAAGGATTTGCTGCAGAGTTCTCGCTTGCTCAGATAGTGGATCTCAAATCCTGTACTGCTAGAGCATGGGCTCGATCTGATTTCCCGCACTGCCAGCCCATGATTCCTTACCACCACCACCACCACCACCACCACCACCACCACCACCACCGCCCCCGCCCCCAGGTGTTTGTTCACTATATAATCTAGGTTCTCCTTGAGGATTTTGGTTGGGGTCCTTTGGGTTTGAGAGGGAGGACTCCAGGTAGCCTGTAAGAACTGCCTCCAGGCTACGTATTTCTTCAGGGCTTCTGCACACCCCAAAATCAGGGGCAAAAGGGGCAAAAGTCCTCCCTTTAATGAGCACAGCGGAAAGATGCTCCCCTGCAGGCGGAGGACAGGTTGCTTCGCACAGCAAACATGGCTCCAGCATCGTACATTATTTAATCCAAAGGTGAAAGAGGAAAAACAAAGGGACTAGAGAGGTTGCTGCCTCTGCATGTGTGTTCTTCTGTCTCCAGCTCCCCTAGGCTTGGGCGAGGGTGGGGAGTTGTTGATTTATTTTTATTTGTATTGGGGGCCGAGGGGAGGGAATGGTGAGGAAGGCTTGGGGAGGTATGGAGAGGAGGATTTCCCCCCCCTTCCCTCCTATTTCTTTTCCCCCCTCTTATCAACCTAAAAAAAATTTTTTTCTCGTGGTTTGTTTGTGCCTTTGCTGTTCACTAACCTGTGTGTGCCCTCCCCTCTTCTCTCCTTCTTGTGGCTGCACGGCCAGACGCCTGTGGCCTGTCGGATGCCGCCCACATCGAGAGCCTGCAGGAGAAGTCGCAGTGCGCACTGGAGGAGTATGTGAGGAGCCAGTACCCTAACCAGCCCAGCCGCTTCGGCAAACTCCTACTGCGACTGCCCTCCCTGCGTACCGTGTCCTCCTCGGTCATCGAGCAGCTCTTCTTCGTCCGTTTGGTAGGTAAAACCCCCATCGAAACTCTCATCCGGGATATGTTACTGTCTGGGAGCAGCTTCAACTGGCCTTACATGTCCATCCAGTGCTCCTAGACCTTGGGCGCTTCCCACCTGCCCCCGCCTCCCTAGAGACTCAGAGGACCGGTGGGGGCCATGGACTCCAAAGCTGCGGGGACATCCGGGCGGCTGTTGCAGGGTGCAGCCAGGCAGGGGGGAGGTGGGCCGGGCCGACAGGAGCAGCCCACCCTGCAGAAATGCAACCCGAGCTGCAAACCAGGAGAAAGAGACTCTTTTTAGGATCAGATCTGTGAACATGTTGGAAAGGAAAGAAAAAGGACCTTGTGTCTGGTGAGAAAAGGAAAAAAAAAATTGGAAGAGAGGACCATGAGAATTTTAATAAAACAGAAGGAGACTAATGGACCTTCCAGGATTTATTGTGGACGGATGTGGATATATTCTGTACAGAAAACAACACACATGGAAGTGGACTGAATTCTATGTAGAAACACACACACACACACACACACACACCCCAAACATTGTTATTCATTTTGTAAAATACTAGTCTTTATTTTCATTTTTTTGTAAAATTTAAACATCGTATGCACATAAAAAAGGAAACAAGAATTAGGGGAAAATAACATTTTCCAAATAATTATAAAAAAATTGTCCTGTGTCTATGTATCTATATCTGTTTTGTATTTTTTTCTGGTTCCAAACCAGATTTCCTGTGATTCTATACTAATAATTTTTGATATAACCCTTTGCTTCTTATAATGAGTGCGATATATGTTGTCGAGGCTGTTCTTCAAGAATTAAAATTGAAGTGAAAATTTAAACAAAAAATAAAAGAATTTAGCAAAACCCACGTGTCTGGTTACTTGACAGATGTCCTGAGTGCAAGAGAACCCTCCCATTAATTGCCATTCCAATTATGATTAGAACGGGAGGTGAGGGTGGAAACTTCTAAGGTCCATTACGAAATTGTCTAGATTTATTTCCTCAAACCAAGCCGCTGCCTTGGTTTTGTAAATGCAGAGGGTCAGGCTCTGTGTGGGCTGGGATGGGCAGGGAGAGGGCAGGGCACCTTGGTGGCTCCCAGCAGCTCTTGTCACCTTGTGGATGGTTGGTGCCCTGCACAGAGCCAAGCGGGGAGCCCGGGGTAGGCTCGGTTGGAAGTGGAGGCCGAGTCCAGGGGCCATTGGCTTCATTGACCGCAGGTGGGAACTTGCCTGGCTGGAGAGGCCGCGGAGAGGCGTGGGGAGCTGAAAGGCGTGGGGAGCTGAAAGGCGGGTTGAGGTCAGGGGAGGACTGCTCAGAAACCTCATGTCCCTATAACTGCAAGATCCTCCTCTCCCCAGCTCTGGGAGAGAGAGTTAGGGCCTCAACGCTGCCAAACCTACCTCTGCTCCCCCTTATGGTCCGCTGCAGAGCTGCCTGGGGTTTACCCTTCACTCCAGCCTCTGTGACAGGGGTGCCCTGGAGGGCTCTCAAGCTCAGTTGGGTGAAGGGAAAGGCCCCCCTGGGGCACTTACGCCACGGACCTGGAACTGGGGAGCTGGTGAGCCAGGCTGGAGCAGGTTCTTTCCAGGAGCAGCGTTTGGGCTCTAGTGGCCCTTTCAGGGCAGAAACCTGCCGCTGAGGCCTCTCTTTGGGGTGTGCGTGGGGGGCTGCTCTCTGTTACAGCTTTCCGAGCATGAATGTTTTATAGGATTCTAGTCGGCGCTGCAAGAACACATACTACCAAGGGAGCTTTTTCCTAACGTATTAATAAAGGCAGATCTTTTGAAATAACACCTCTTACCTCCTCCCCCACCTCTCACCCCCAAACAGGCCTTGGATGAGGCAAGTGCTTCACTTTCAGAAGTCATTGACAAAGTTTTGCTTTCATTTGCTGATGAGAAACCTCCAGGTTCCCCCACTCCTTTAAAAATGTATTAACAAGCTCCAAGCCGCCTGAGTGAGGTTTTAATATTCTAGGTGCGGTGCGGCCAGGGCAATGCCACACTGTGTGGAAAAACCCCTGCAGGTCCACCTGCCACTGGGCCTGAGCCTTAGGGAGGCAGGGAGGGCACACTGGCTGGAGTGAGGGGCGCTTGGGGCCCTCCGGCCCTCGCAGGGGTCCCAGCCCGCCCTGGGCCTCAGCCTTTGCACTACATGGGGGGCAACCGTCTTTGAGCCTAGACTGACCGTCCTGCGGACTGAGCGCCCAAGGCCCAGAGGGGCAAGGGAAGAGCTCACGTTTAAACCCCTGACCGCCCCCCCAGAAAGTCTCAGAGAGCCCTCCCAGGTTGCCAGATGAGGGAATGGGGGGGTTGGGGTGGGGTGGGCTGCAGGCCCGGTGCAGGGGGGAGGGGATTCGGTGGAGCTGCCTCTTGAGCGCTCACCGATCCTTGCTGCCTTTCTTGAAATGAGATGTAAATATATTCATTACAGTGTGATCCCTCTGATGAAAACAGATAAACATTTTTGTAGGTCTGAAACGTATTTTTCAATTAATTTTAATATGGAGGCCCCAGCACAAGGTGGCCAGTGTGGGGACCCTCCCGGAAGTCAAGGCCTGGGGTGCACCAGGCTCTGGCTCTGGGCCCAGAGGGGACAGTGGTAACTGGCCTGTCGCGGGCCTTGGACCGGCCTGAGGAGCCCGGCCACCTCTCCGGGCCTGGGCCCGAGGCCCCAGCAGACCAGCGCCGCGGCAGGGGGAGCAGGCCTCGCCCCTCAGGGCCTCGCTGACCCCCTCACAGACTCGGTGCAGGAACAGGAGGCCCTGGGGCCGAGAGCGACCAGAGGGGGACCGGGTGGCCCGCTCCCTGCCAGGCAGGCCTGGCTGGGGCTGCGGGCAGTTCTCTCCTGCACTCTTCAGAGGTCTCTGTGTGTCTCAGGCGGAGAGACAGAGCCTCCCAGGAGACTCAGGGGCTCTGGGGGTGCCCCCCGCAGGGCAAGGCAGGCTGCGGGAGCTCCGAGGGCACAGCGGGCCCCACAAGTCTGCTCAGGCCTCCCGAGGTTCAGGAGCTGAGAGTGCAGTGTTCAAGCCCTGGGCTCAGCCTTCCAGCAACCAGGGAGCGCCCCCTCTTCTCCCGGAGCCCTGGCAGGGCTCCCTGGCCCGGCTGACCCGAGCCCCAGGCCCAAGGGCTCAGGGCCCAGCGGCCCCCCGGCAGCCCTGCTGTGCAGAGGGGCCGCCCCAGGAGTGGCCGCGGCCTGCGTCCCCTCAGATCCTGGAAGCCACTGGGCAGAAGGCGAGGGGGAGTGGGAGGGAGTCTCCTCTGCCTGGGTGGCCGCCCAGAGGCCCCGAGCAACGAGCCCGCCTTGGAGCCGAGCGCCAGGGGGAGCCGTGGAACGTGGGGGCGAGGCCGCAGGCAGGTGTGGGCGCCCGGGTCACCGGGGCCTGCGGAGGCCGAGGCGCAGCGGCCCTAAGGAGCTGACAGGGTAGGACCGGGCTGCCGGGGTGGGCCAGACCTGACAGGGTCCCCAAGGCCGAGCAGGTACATCAGAACTGTGGGAGAGCGGCCCACACAAGGTGACGTCCCCCTCGGAATTACCTGTGACATCTGAAAGTCAAGCGCTCCCCTTTCTAACCCAAACACTTGCTGGGCGACTGAGAACTTTGGGGGCTTTGAAGTCGGGTTAAACTACTTTACCCACACGCTTTCCTGAAAACATCAAAAAAGCCATCTTAGGACGTGCTCTCCTCTGGGGATTTCTAGGGCAGGAGGCTGCGCCCCGTCCGCAGCCAGGGGACAAAGAGTGGCCTCAGGGAGTTAAAATGTGACCTCAGCCCCCTCCCCAGCACACCCCAAACTGTGCCCAGGCCTGGGGGAAGCCCCCCGGGGTGGGGATGGGCATCCCTCCTGGCCACCATAACAACCCTGGGCTTCCCGGGCCCTGCCCTTTGGGTTGGTTCAGGCTCCGGGACTCTATCAGCCACAGAGGGTGTCGGTGGGCTGCCCCCCAAGCCCCCTCTCCCAGCTTTGAGGTCAGGGCCACTAGGTTTGCGGAGCCCCTTCTATCCGAGCCCACCTGAGCTCATCTGCTTGGAGAGTGCAAAGTTTATTTAAAAAAAAAAATCCTCCTGGTCAGCTCACAGGCAGCCCTTAGATGTCCTACAGCACCAGGATCACCCCCTGTAAGCCACTCGAGTCTCCAGAACGAATCACCTGAATGTCCCTGCAAATGGGAGACCCTGAAGGAGAGTGGGGAGGATGGGCAGGGAGACACAAGTGGAAACTAATAAAACTCTTGTTAGAGGGCCCGCTCAGGATCCGCAGCGTCACTGGGCCTTTTACTTGGAAAGCCAAAGAGTTGTATTCCTAAATGAGTTAAAGACCCATTTACCTCTGTCGTGTTCTATTCATCAAGCCACAAGTTGAGAGTTCCTAACATGAAACTATTTGTTTGCTTACACAACCAGCTGGGCGCAATTTCACGTCTGAGATATCTATCTGAAAGCGCCTCTCATTTATTATCTCTCCTTGTCAGCGAATCCATTTTCAAGCTCCCCCTCCCCCCTTTGGGGTTTATTTATTTATTTTTGGTGGGACTTCTGCGCCTGGGAGGACCTGGGTCTCCAGAGCTCCCCAGGGAGCAGCCGGTCCCTGCGGGGGGCTCCTGCTGTGCCCGGGGCACCCAGACCCGGGTTGGAGGGGGGGGAGCAGAGGCCCCCCGCTGACCCCGGCGGGCGCCCCAAGGGCCAGGGTGAGGGGCGGGCAGCGGGTGGGCCTGGCGGGACACCCTGAAGCTGCCCTTCTCCTGGGGTGTCCCCCCTGCTAGCTGTCCCAGAGTCAGCCACAACCACCTGTGCGAGGAAGGGTGGGAGGAGGCCCGGGAGGGGAGTCCAGGAGCCTCTCTCCCAGTTGGGGGCCCGAGATGCAGATTTGAGAGATGCTTTTACAAAGCCTCACCTAATCCCACGGGGCCAATTTCTTCTCCCAGGCTGGGCCCGGAGCGCAGAGTGAGTAACCAAGATGTAAATAGTTGTGTGATGGGTTGGGGGAGGGGGCAGCGCATTTATTGTGTGTGTGCGGAGGGAAGAAGGCTGCACGTGGTTTCAATTTTGAAGCACAAAGAAATAACATGCAATGCAGAAAATAGGTTTATGAATGTAATTGAGAGGAAAGAAAACAATTAACACGGTGCAAGGTTGCACACTCGATTCTCCACCCCTCGCCTTCCCTTCTACCCCAATTTTGAGAAATCCGGGTCATGTGAATAGAGTGGGTCTAGGCAGTTGGATCCGGCTGACAAGGGAACCCCTGATGGAGATCACAGTGATGGGTGGATAATGGTGTCTATCCATCTCCTAGTCGGCTAAGGCCTCCTCCGACCAAGCTGAAAGCGAGGGATCAAATCCCCAAGTCCATTGTATACAATGTCCGTAGTTGTAAAGGTGGAAAGGAGAAGGGGTGTGTGTAAGGCAGGGGAGAGGGAGAATGAGAAAGAGAGATAGCCAGGGATTTCTTTAAGACAGACCAGGCTGGTCTCTGCAAGCTATCCTATTGTGTTGATTTAGGAGGACATTTGCTGTATATAACGTTTAAGGCTGATAATATCATTGCGCAGCCAGATAAATAAAGCGTTGGCCCAACCGTGGGGTCAGCGATCGATCTCTGGGCTCAGAGGAAAAGGGAGAGAGACAGGATCGAGCACGAGGCTCTGTCTGTGTGCTTGTCAGGCGGCGGGCAGGAGCCCGAGTGTGTGTGAGCGTCAGGGTGTGCGAGAGAACCAAGTCTTCAGCTGGCCAAGAGGCTCATTAGCATTCCTAACCCATGGACCTGCGCTGACAACTAACAGAGATATCCCGCTCACCACCAGGCCTCGTCTCCTTTTGTCTTCAGATCTGGAGGAGAAAAAGATTTCTCGGTGGAAGCTGGAGCCTGAACTTCCATGTGGTTGATGGAGATTCAGGGTATAAAGAGACGTTTCGGGATCCTGCCTGGTCTTTCACTCTGCTTTTAAAAACTTCCCTCCTAAAGAAGGAAGTTCCTTTTTTTTTTTTTTTTTTTTTTTGCCTTTCTCTCTTAAAGTGTAATATGTTTGTTGCAACTCCAAGCTTAAATGAGAGGGAAAATTCCCTGAAAATATTTTGCCATTTCTCCTTGTTGACATGCAGAGAGGTGGATGTTTATATGTTTGGCTCACATACACATGTAAAGCTGGTACTTTTCAGGATTTCTAGAACTTAGCAACCAGGGGTTGTTGGAGATTTTTTTGTTTCTCTTCTTTCTTCTGCTTGGTTTTGTTTTGGTCGTGACAAAATTCATTTGGTTTCCCACAATACAGGGTCCGCTTATTACCTTATCAGTCCGCTGTTTAGGTAAAGTACAACCTTTGAAAATTGAATAGGGTCTAGTTTTGTGTTAACCATCAGAAATGAGCAATTTTAGAGGCCTCCACTATTCCAAGGGACGTTGTAAGATTACACTCTTTCACGCGGCTTTAATCACCTTACACCTATTTGGGGTTAAGTGTCTCAGTTAACTACATCTCCCAGGGATAAATACGTATCCAGTGCTGTCCCAGATCCTGCGCCTTGAACTCCATCAAATGAGGCAGATAGTTTTACATCGGAGTGTACAAATTATCCCATGTTGACAGATGTTTGTCACTTAGTAACTTCTTTCCAAGTTTTCCCCCTCCCCTAAGCCTTCTTTCTTGCTTGCTTTGTTGTTTTAAAATATGCATGTCTCTCACTGGAATGCCAGTCACGAGTGCAAACTTTGTGTCCAACCTCCCACATGAAATGATCCTTTTAGAGGGAACTCGATATGTCTCAATCTGCACTTCACTCAAAGCCTGTGGGTACGGGCCACTCACTCACTGGTCCTGGCTTCAAAATAACTCAGCAGAAACGAGTTTCCAACTAAAAATCCCCTCGAATGTCTCCCAGGGAAGAAATATAGCTCCTATAATTAAAGGAGGCAACGGCCGGAGGGGGAATGCAGCCGGCAGCCAAAAAAAAAAAGTAAGAGTTTTATTTATTTGCTGATTGAACTTGGGTTGTCACGACCAGCAGGTTTATCCACACTGGAAGTGCTGGCGGTTTGTACTGTGTGTGCACAAGAGGGAGAGGTGGGCAGAGAAGAAGGGGAAGGGGAGGATGACACGGAACAGGGGGTGTGCAAGAGGTGAGGACAGATTTGGGGGAGACAGAAACTGATCTCTGTGGCACAAGGTAAGGCAATTTCCTAGCACTGGATTTGCGTAAAGACTTGTAGCTGAGGGAAATGGGAGGGGGGAGCTCAGAGGAGAAGAGGGGGTAATTATAGTAAACTCCTAAATGTGGGGTATCGTCAGGCAAAGGAGGACTCTGATTTCCCTAGAAAAGTAATGTGACAGCAGGAAAATTATTAGCTGTGCTGTGTGTGGCGGTTTCGGTATGTGGGGGGTGGAATTATGAAGAGAGGAGCCGGAGAGCAGGGAAGAAGTTCCAGGACTCAAAGCACAAGTGCCACGGAGCCAGAAGCCCTCCACCCTCCTTGGCAAAAGTTGCCTAGTAGGTGTGGACGTGAAGTCTCTAGAAGACATCATCTTTACATCGTATTTTAATGAGTTTCATCTATTTGAACTGATTCTGGCATTAGAAGCGCTTATAGGATGATTCAGCTCACAGGATGAAGAACACCTACCTCCCCATCTCTTTGGCCAGCCCCCCCACCCCCCCACCCCCCCAAAAAAAGAAGCTTCGAAACAGAAGGAGTACTCAGGCTGGGCAGCTCATTTCTATTAAAAAGGCAAAACTTTAGCACTGATGGAAAACAGATGAATTTTTTTCTCCCTCTCTCTGAAACAGTTACTCTCTTTTACTGATGTGAAGTGACGTCAGCAGGGCCTGTCCTATCCCCTTGGAGGGAAGGGAGGGAGGAGGAGGAGGGGATGGAAGGAGGGAGCTGGGAGAAAGAGCTACAGAAAAAGAGAAAGAGCGAGCTGAGAGAAGAGGGAAGGGAGGGGGCGGGAAGGAGAAATTGAGAATGAATATCCTCCACTTTTTTGACCAAAACTCCACAAAGAGTGGGCAACACGATGCCTGGGAAGCCCATCACGGAGAGGACACCCTTCTCAGCTCCGGCCCGGTCGGCATACCCTAACATATGGAAAGCTTACAGGCCCTGTGCACTTATAGGAGCCGATAATGCATTAGCTCTCAGCAATATTTACAGCACCGCGCTTAATACACACCAGATGGTTCGCGACTGTGCCGCCCCAGCCAGCTCGCTCCTCGGTTTTACTCGGCGGCACTTTGTTGCAATTACGCTCCATGCTGAGACCAATTTTATTGGTGACCTATTTTTCATATTTGCAGCGTTTTATGTTAAAAACCTCCTCTCTGGCCTTTTTTTTGGGGGGGGGGGGAAGGGCAGCAGCGCCCAGGAAGGGAGAGCTGGGGAGGATGCTGCTGCAGCTGTCGAGGTGGGGATGCCTAGATGCA